CCCCCCCCCCCCCCCCCCGGGACGTGGGGCCCCGGGTGTCCGGGCCGGGGCGCCGGGTGTCGGCCAGCCGGACCACGGAGAGGGCCGAGCACAGCCCGGCCGCGCGTTGGCGGCTTGCCCTCCGACGCAGGGTATTTTGCCCCCCTCCGCCGCCGCGCTCCGCCAGCGCGCTCCGCGGCGGCGGCCGCCGCCTCCTCCTCCTTCTCCTCCGGTGGAGAGGCATGGAAAACCCAGCCAAAGGGGTGACCCTCGGCGAGGCGGGCCCGCGCGACGGGGCCGCCGTGCCCGGCCGGCCCACGCCCCGGCAACACTCCATGGCACATGCCCAGCCATCCCCGGGCGGAGCATCTGCCACCGATATGTCCACACACATGCTCACGCGGACGCCAATGCCAGGCTACCCGCGGTTGAGGAGGCCCATTCGGCCCCGGCCAGCGACACACATGCCCCGCCGGTCGGCCGGTCGCCAGTGCCCGACGCACTCACGCTGACACCCCGCGGCAAGATTGAGGTCCCCCCCCGCCCCCCCCCCCCCCCTCCTTTCGCATGTCCCCTGCCGATAGTCGGCAGGAGTCCCGCCGCGGGCGCGGCCGCCGCTGTCGCCGCTGCCAGCACATGCCGGGTCCGTCGTCTCGCCGGGGCACAGCTGGGCCGATCGCTGCCCGGTGCTACGTCAATGCCCGCCGTACGACCCTCGGGGGAGGATGTCGGTGCCTGATCGAGCGCGAGATACACATGCCAGGAGGGCGGCTATTGGCGTGCACATCGCTCCCTCCCCCGCGCACATGCCCACGCACACACTGACACACATGCGTGCCCCGGCGTGCTGACATCATCGCCACCCCCCGCGCCCCTCCAACCCGGCCGCTGCCCCGCATCCGTCTCTGCCGGGGAGCGCGCTCAATCTGAGCGCCGCCGAGGGGCCATTGTTTGCATACCCGCACACGGATGCGCCGCGTTCTTCCGCCGGGCCCAGGCGCGGGGAGCGGGAGGTCGGCGACGAGGCACCCACCACACGCCTCAGCCGGCCAACCGGCGCCCAAACAGCCACACGACGCGGGCCGTGCCGACGAGATGCCCCGTCTTGGCGGGACGCGTGTTTGTCGACTCCCGCCCGGGCGTGCTCCCCCGGTGCGTGTTTGCCCCCGGGTACGTCGCGCAAAGTGTTTGCCCCCGGGTGCCTGGCTTCCCGGGGGCGGGGGGGGGGCAAGGGAGAGGCCGTTTGCCGCTGCATGCGTGCCGGCCCTCACCGGCGCGCCCCGGCGCCTCAACGTGTTTGCCACGGACTTGGCGCCGGACGGCCGCGGGTGGTGGCCCCAGGCTCCCGAGGGCCCTGTAAGGACCCCGCACAGACAGACACACACACATGCATGCATGCCGAGGGCAATACACATCCTTCGCGTAGCCCGCCAGACACCCAGCCTGCTTCATTGCCCCCGCTATCCTCCCCGCGGCACGCCTCGGCGCGGGCCACCACCGCACAGGACGGGCTCCACATTTCACCACCCTCCCTCGCCCCAGGAGGACCCAGGCACTTGTGCCCATCCAACACATGGGCCCAGTGGCGGCCCCCCGCACGCGGGCGTCTGCTCACGCTCTCACCCGCAGCCGCGGCCGCGCACAGACAAATAAAAAACCACCCCGCTCACTACTACTACATGGCACGATGCCACCCTGGCCCGGGCGCTGGCCGACTCTCCGCGCACCTCTCTGTCCCCCTCCCCCCTCCACCACCACCGCCCCCACCACCACACAGGCACACATGGCACACA